TGTTCTCAGGAGGAAGCGGTTTTTTAGATGTCCTTCAGGCACTAAATATCTGCTTCCCAGCTGAGTGTGAAGAGGGGGGTGGGGGTGGGGACAGGAGGGCAGAACTAAGCCTGAGAGGTCAAGGGAGGATTTGGGCCACACCAACCACAGGAGGCGGAGGGGATCCCATGGGGGCTAGAGGCCACTTTCTGCAAACTGAGGACATGTATTTGACTAGAAAAAATACATCTTCAAGAAGATGTACAGCACGGCCACAGAATGCTTGTCAGAAACTTAGGGGAAAGGTGGGCAGGTGAATTCAGCAGGGCTATTTAAGGAGACCCAGAACTTGTACCTGTGCTCTGATGCCCCAGCACTGAGACAAAACCTGTCTAAAAGGGACTTTTAAGATCTAGTACACCGTGTCAAAGAAGAAGTTTCGTGGCTCTTTTTGTATAAAATGTCCTACTGTTTTTGAAACAAGAGGAAACATAACCAAATGTTGGGGAAGGTGACAAGGGACAAAAGTCAGAGGAAATCTTGGTTAGGACATTTTGGAATACCCATATTTATTGAAAACTTGACACATAACACTATACCCAATTCATGCTTGCTGAAAAGGTTTCTTTCTCTACTAGTTTAAGTAATGACTGGCAGGGGGGTGCCTGGGTGGCTCAGTGGGTGACTGGGTGGGGGACTCTTGATATCGGCTCGGTCGTGATCTCACAGGGCTGGGATGAAGCCCCACGTTGGGCTCAGTGCTGAGCACGGATCTTGCTTGGGATTCTCTCTTTCCCTCTGTACCCCTCCCCTCCTTGTGTGGAGGTGCGCGCGCGCACACACACACACACACACACACACACACATTTTCTCTCTCTCTCTCTCTCTCTCTCTCTCTCTCTCTCAAAATAAATAAACATTTAAATAATAATAATAATGATTGGGGCATGATGGTTGGTATTAAGTCACAAATTCAAAATTTGTTAAAAGGATCCTACCAGATACTTGGGAGGCGGGTTATTGTCAAACATCAAAAGTCACCACCTCCATTTGGAAGCACGTGACACCAGCCATCATAAGTACTTAATACGTTGTTCGCGAAGACTAATTAGTATTACTTTGGTCGGATATTGATGCAGAGGATATTAGAACGCATCTAGCTCTTCCACTTATTGTACAGATGGAGAAACTGAGGTCTGGAAAGTGGAAGGGACTTGGCCAGGCATAAGTTAAATTTTTTTGTCAATGACTCCGGGTTATCATGATTGCAAATAATTCCTCAGTCTAATGGTCGTTTGCTTTCACCATAATATTGAGTCATTCGTCTTAAGAAATGACTCACCGAGAGCAGGGCAGACTGATCCGCAGTTTTGGGGACTGCACTGAAACCTTCCCACTCCAACCACAGCCAATTTAGAACTAGTCTGTGCTCCAGACCACTCACAATGGTCCTGCCCCAAGAGGAGCCCTGCCCCAATCAGAATGGGATAAGTGAGTGTGGCCGCCTGGTATTACCTTCTAGCTCACCATCACTGGTGGTGGGGCAGAAGGGGGGTGGGGGGGTCCGGGGAGAGGGTCTACTGCTTTATCTGGGAATCCCTACCTCTTCTCCTTCCTTCTCCAAAGCCAGCTGGGAAATCTCAGGCTAAATAGGATGGCCGCAGAGATGAAATAAGGAAAAGGAGCTGATCTGGGACACAGGGGTCCCGAGTACCAATCCTTTACGAATCCCAAATTGCCAGACATTCCTTTGATTTTGAAATTGGGTGGGGAGATTGAAAACAGGAGTCATTTCCTTCTGGAAATGCATTGTCTCTTTGTGCTGCTGGAGGGGCATCGGAGACGGTGAATTTTGTGACTATGGAAAAATAGAGACAGAAAGTGTCCTGGGCTGCCTGTGAAAAGAGTTCCAACTTCTCTCTAATAATCAACCAGGGGAAATGCTGGCAGTGCTCCTGATTCCCTGGATTCATTGCTTCCCACTCTCAGGATACACAAAGTACCTAAGTCTAAACAGGTAGATCCAGCCTTTGGCTGGACTCCCCTGGCCCTCCACTCACACTGGCAGGGAGGAATCAGGACTGGTGCAGCCTCAGGAAGGAGCTGAGATTCCCTATCCTTTGGGTCCACTGCTTTGAGTTGGGGGAGGACTGGGAGGGATCAGCTGGGTAGAGAGGATCAAAAATTCTCAAGCACGGGAGGAAGGCAGGAAGCAAGGTGGCACTATGATCTAATAGTGCTTCTCAAATTTTAATGTGCATATAAATTACTTGGGGATCTGCTAAATTGAGACTTTGCTGCAGCAGACTTGAAGTGGAGCCTAAGGTTCTGCATTTCTAAGTAGCTCACAGGTACTGCTGATGCTGTGTGTGGGTCCGTGGGGCAGCAAGGCTCTAAGAGAACGGAAGCCTCAGAGGCCCCAGAGTGTTACAGACCAAGCCATGATCCCAGGATGTGAATTCTCTCCAGCAGAGCAGATCCTGTATTTTTGGCATTGATGAAGGGTGCCCTCCTCTTGGCCACCAAAGAAAGCTGGAAGGTGGGCAATTAGCAAGATCCTTCTGGTATTCTTGATCCTTGTAACAACCTGCTGTAGCTGAAAGAGCATTTTTAATTAGACCAAATTATCTAGTTTGGCTGTCCATAGAAATCAAAGCCCCAGCTGAAATGTCTGTTTCGTTTTGTTGGTGTAGAGATGTCTATGTGCTGCGATCTTTAAGATGTTAAGCACTGCCTATGGGCATATTTTATGGAGAAATAAACACACAGCCCAATGAGATGTATAGTGTGGTTTTAATATATTGTATATTCACTTATTTATGGGGAAAATAAATACGCGAGCCAATAAGCTGTGTATTATTACTTTAATATATTGAATTTATTTCATACCTATATATTTTATGAGGGAAAATAAACTCATAAGATACATGATATTATTATAATAACACATCTAATTGTTCTATATTAATTTATGTATGAAAGAAATAAGTGCAACTTAACATGACATAAGATTATTTAATGCAGGAGATGAATTCTATATTAAGACAGTTTAAGGGATTCAGTTCCAGCTGAATAAGATGTGTGCACTTCCCACACTGAGGGGCCAGTTAAAAAAATATGCGAGAGCCTGTCTAGTCCTATGTGTCACGACCTGTGCTGGCTCCTGGCTTTTCCTGACAGTTGTTGCCTCCCCGTGCCTGGTACTCCAAGTCCCCGTCCTGCTGGTCCAGGGGAAAGTCTGGGAGGCCCAGGAAATAAACTGCTTTTCGAGAATGGCAGCATCTGCTGGGGAGGTAGCCCTGCGGTGTCTGTTTCTGAGCCAGAGAAATATTAAGTAAACCTAAGAAGGATGGATGGCTTTCCAGGGCCCTTTAAATCTCCGCGTTCCCCGGAACGAACCAGGAGGCAGATGGGGGAGATCGATCCTGGCTTCCCCGCTCGCCGGGTTTGCAAGCAGCCGGGCCGGGTGCGGTGGGGGATAGGAGACAGAGCTGAGATGGCAAATGAAGCTGTCGGTAAGACAGGTAGGCCTGCATCTGGAGGAAGCGGCGGCCGGGCTTTAGATCCCAGAGCCAAGGGTGCACAGTCAGACCCCGCGAGGCCGACCCGGGCCTGCAGACCCGCCGCTCACCCCTGCGCGGCTCACCCCTGCGCCGCCCACGCCGCGCGCACTCCACGTCCCCCGCGCGTCCTCCGCCTCCGCTGGCCTCTTTTTTTTTTTTTTTTTTTTTTTTTAACACAAAGAAACAGAAAGGGAATCCTGGGCTCCCCGCACCCTCCCTCAGGGCCTGGAGGATCCAGGAAAGAGAAGAGAAGGCCAGGCGCAGGGACGGAGCCCAGAGCGGCTGTCATGGCGAGTACCACGACCTCTCCCCCATACCCTCCCGCCCCGGTGGCTCCAGAAGCTGGCCGCCATTTTGAGGCAATCTTCCTGTCCTGTCCTTCCCCTCCGAGCCTCCTCATCCTCCTTCCCCGCCCCAGGTCTAAGCGCCTTCTCTGGGAGGCCGGCTGCCTGTGGGCCTCCCAGGCCTATTGACCCCGCCACCTCCTCCGGACCGCCCTCCTGACCCCAGGCCCTGGAGGTGGCTGCAGGCCAAGACGCTGGGGTCCAGGGCCTCCTCGCTCCCGACCCTCCGCAGGCCTCCTTCCTGGCCCTTGGGGAGCTTCTCTTCCAGGAGACACCCCCCCACTTTGCCCGCCATGTTGGCCCCTTTGACCCCTGGCCTCCTCACAGACTAGCCTTGTGTTCCCAAGCCTCACCCGGCAGGGGCACTGAGGCCAGAGCTTGGGAGCCCTGGGGCCCTCGGCTCCATTCGACCTCCTGCGCCCCCTGCTGCAGGCCCCCAGTCCCGTCCGGAGCCTCCTCTCCCGCACCCGCCCACCTAGATCTCTAAGCCAGGCCGGGTCCCCTTTACCATTGCCCAGGACCCCAAGGCCATCTGTTGGAGGTATGCAGGTAGCAAATTCAGCAAACTCCCCTCCCCTCCTCGGAGGCTGCACACTACGAGCGGTAATGATAGAACACCCACCCCGGACTGTGACGCAGGGAGTCAGGCAGCCTCACGCCTTACTTAGGTCCCAGGAATGAGAGACCCGGCCAGCCCTACCTAGGAAAGGAGGAGTGCAGGGGCAAGGGAGGAAGGAAAGTTCCAACTTCACAAACCTCGTTTTAAATATTATAAAGACATTTATTTAATCCTGAAATAATGTATGCAATATTTTTCCCCTTTCCTATTATTATTAAAGAATTTCCAATGTCATAAATAATCTTACAGTCTAAAACTTAAAAAAAGAGAGAAGAGAGAGAGAAAACCGATTCCTCTAATTCTGCATATATGTAAAAGCCATGAGTATTCCTAAGTTTCGTTGGAAGAGTCTACCAGACAAATTTATGTATTTTAAAGACACGAGTGCCCAATATTTTAGAGGAACAGAAAATCGTTAAACACAGGTCGTAATGCCTACCTGAATTTTGTAAAACAGAAGAGTCTAAGCAGCTTGGGGAGGGAGTCCTCAGGTTTTCAGCAGACAGGACAGCGAGGGGACAGAAGTCCAAGCGGCCGGAGGAGGAGAAACAAGTTAGGGAACTGCAGATCCCTAGCTGAGGAGGAGTGCTGGTAGAAGAAATCCAGGCTCTTCCTCAGGAAAGAAAGTGGGCTGTCAGGCAGGCCCTGCAGGTGGCTGGGGGGACGGAGGCCCTCGGACAGCTGGACACAGGAGTCAGCCCCGCGAAGAGTTGAGATCAGGCGGGAAGAAAGGCCGAATCCTGCCCATCGGGAAGGCGTCTTCCGGGCAGCTCAGGCTCAATGGCAGCCCGCGCGCAAACTACCGCACGTGGTGGTCAAAGGCTGGGGCCCTGGGCGCTTGGGAGGGGCCAGCGCGACCTCGGTGACAGCAGGCTTCCCGCGCCAGCCGGAAGGCGGAGGGCGGCCAGGGCTGGCCGCGGGCGGGCTCGTCAGCTGGCTCGCCAGCACATCCTCCAGGGCCTCCTGGGCAGGAGCCAGCTCCCCGTCGGGCCAGCTCGCCTTGGTGCACGTCTGCCGCTTACCCAATGGCTAACCAGTTCTGGAACCACACCTGCCTTGACCTGCCTCTCAGTGAGGTCAGCAAGGCCAGGCTGTGATCTCCGGCACCAGCCAGCACAAATGCTTGACAAAGTGGAATTCAGCCTCCAGCTCCAGCAGTTGCGTGTTGGGTATTGTAAAGCAGTGCGCAGACCTGCGCCCGCTTTACCAGCCTCAGCGATCCCCGGACCATCTGCAGGGAAGAGGGGCTGGGTGTCAAAAAAGAAGCGGGCAGAAGTGTCCCCTGCTCAGCCTCCCATTCAGCAGGTGGGGAATACCCCAGCCGCCAAGCGACGAATGACAGCGCACCCCCCCCCCGCCCGCCTACCCAGGCGGCCCGCTCTCACGCAGCACTTTCCCGTCCCCTCGCCAGCAAGGCCCTGCCCAGGTCAGGCCTGCCTGCCAGGCATTCAGAGCCGCCCACGGATGCCACGTGCAGAAGTGAGGGGCAGCTGCCTTTTTGCCCCCAGAACCTCAGGCCTCCATCCCAGATCATGGCGTGGAGGCCCTCAGTTCAGCATTTTCAGGCTTAGCCCCGGGAGGGGGAGGTTCATTGGAAGATTATTCCTCACCTCCCACCCATCCTCCCTGGCTTTCAAATTCCCTCTTTGCAGAAAGCAAGGAAATGCGGTTTGAATCTTTTCCTAGGAGCCCAGGTTCAATCCCCAACACCCACAAAGTTCCTCCATTACAGATAAAGGCTAAATCAAATCCTTTTTCAACAGAAAGGCTCTTCCCCAACCAGCCTCCAAAGATCTGCCATAATTATTGTTGAAAGAAAGAAAGAAGAGAAGAAAGAAAAGAAAAAAAAAAAAAGGCCTGAGCCCCAGCAGTGTATTTTTCTTGTGTTCATCCTGGACTAGACAGGAGCCAAAGGATCCCAACAGGCTCGACACCCTTTTTTTTACCTCATCGCTCTTTCTCCCCTCTCTCTTCCTCCCCTCACCCCACCCCCTACCGCCGACCTGCACTGGCAGTGATCCGACCCCGGGAGGCCAGGGAGGCTTGGAGGCGGCTGGAGAAGAACAACGAGGCGGATTGGCTGCGCGTTTCTTGGCAGGTTCTTCTCTCTGTCATCCAGGGGAACTCAGGGACCAAGGGGACGGCAGGGAGCGGCAGCGGCGGCGGCAGCGGCAGAGCAGACCCATCTTCGCCTCTTTTGGCTCCTGGGTCTCTGAAGGTGCCAGGAGGCGCCGGGCTGGGGCCTGGGGAAGGTTTGCTCAGGGAGGAGGAGGAGGAATTAATGTGACTCGGTTGATCAAGTTTGAAATGTCTCCAACTGGCAGGAAGAGTCAGACACTCAGCAGGCGATGGCTGGCTGTTTATAAACCCAATCTCCCTCTCAAATTCAAAATTCATGGCTTTCAATGGTGGGGGAGGGGGCCTGCTGGGGGGGCATCCCAGGGGAGGGGAGGATCCAGAGGACCCCCTACCCCCCAGGTTATGATGGAGCGATTTTTGGGAGGAAATTCCTCTTTCTCTCTCTCTGTTTTTTTTTTTTTTTTTTTTTTTTTATTTTGGGCCTTTATAATTGTATATTGCTGATAAATACAAGCGTATGGGGACTCTCTCTATTAAACCCAGGACTCCGGCGAAATTGCAGGGAATTCATGGTCACGGGACTGGCCTCGGCCAGTAAACAGCATCTGGGCCCTGGAGAAATGAGAGGAGGCAGTGGCCTTACTTTAATTGAGTTCAAGGCTCTAGGGGACCACCCTGGACACGTGGGCCCCCCAGTCCTACACTCCCTCTCCCCAGTGCTTCCCTTTCCCCAGAAAAGCTAGAGGAACCTTTCTCTCACCCCCTTCAGAAGATGGGAGGCCCCAAAAGGTGGAAAACAAGAGAATCTAAGGGAGAAGTCTTCCTCTCTTCCAAATATTTTTAATAGAATACATTAGTGCTTTCTTTATAATGCCAGCCGTATTATCTTCCCCACTCTCCCCCCATTAAAAAAAAAAGAAAGAAAGAAAGAAAGCTGAGTAAGGATCTCAGAGTGAAAGAAAAAGATAGTAGAAAGAGACTTCCATCCTTTGGGAAAGGTCGGTGTTAAGGTGCAATAAGGAAGAGGAGAGATTTACAATCATCAGCACCTCCATCCCCATCCCACCCCCCCAAAAGCAACAGATAAATCTTAGAAAATCGACAGACACTCCCAGGCTGACACAGAGGAGTGAGATAGATGGTGAGGGGCTCTTTGGGGCCTCTGGCAGCCAAAGCTGTGTGGTCTCAGTTCCCTTCTCTGCCCAGTGTTTGCAGCACTTGTCCACCTGCCTTCCTCACCTGGAGCCATCTCACTCCTTTTCAGGACCTCACAACAGCCAGGGTGTAAGGTGCCTATGCTCTCCCTCAAGCCTCAAGCCTGTATCTGTATCTATATCCAGGGACATGAACAAGAACCAAGGTAGTAGGAGATTTAACTTAGAGCACTCTCAAACCTCAGGCCAATGTTTGGGGGGAAGGAATCCCCGCCCAGGACAAAGAGAAGCCCCCTTCTATTTTTGCCAGTGTACTAGTTTTAATCATCATCATCATCCCTGGCAAGAAAGAATTCTCTGAGCACGGAGAGGGTGGCAACAATGACTACTGAGATTATATTCCATTTAGGGGGGAAGGGGAGGATTTTTTTTTTAATTTTATTTTGAGGGGATCAAGACAGTCTGAACTTTAGAGAGTATTGTAATGTACTGGAGAGAGGGGACACAAGACTCGCCCCCCACCCCCACCCCGGAGCAATTGGTGGGAAACTAGATCTCAAAGCAGAAAATGAAAAGTCGATCTGGGGGAAGATTTTTAAATAAGTGGGTCAGAGGGACCGAGAGGAGATGAGGCGATCAATCTTAGCCCCCTGACAGCTCCCTCCGATGGCATCAAAGAATTTGGCTCTTTGGGAAAGCCGAGGGAACAGCCGAAATTCCACATCCCTTTAAAAGGCCTGGGGGTGGGGGTGATAGCAAAAGAGAAAGGTGATTCTGGGAGAGCAGGGGAACAGATGGGCAATGGGGACAGAGGGAAGGACGCTGAGTTGGGTGGAAAGTTTGTGTGGAGAACTCCCACGGCTCTGGCCTCCCCTCCCCCTCCTCCTCTCGGCTGCCCAGCAAGGAGGAGAAGGCTGGTTAGCAGAGAAATGGCAACTCAGCCGGGAGCTGGAACTAGAAACTTTCTGTCAATGTAACAGCCGCGTGGGTGGCGGTGAGTATTCATCCGCGTGGGTGGCGGTGAGTATTTAAAAAGGACCGAGAAGGCCAGAGGAGAGCCAGGAGAGAGAAAGGGGATTTGTAGGTGGGGGCTGCAGGGACGCGAGGTGGACCGCTGCGGAGGGCTCGGAACAGAAGGAGCTGCTCTGAACTGGGCAAACTGGCCAGAGACCGTTGTGTCCAACTCCACTCCAAAGAAGGCACTTTTCGCCATTTGGGGGGGGGGGG